AGCCTGCTCCACACCCCCACCCCCCCTCCACCTGCCAGAAGGAAGCCCCTGGTGAAAGGCTCCCTCCCAGCTAGACCCATAGGAAGGAAGGTACCCCTTGCGCACTGGAATCCAGGGTTAGATGCACCTTATTGTGCAAAGCTGCACCTTTATATTTTGTAAGACTGTTATCATAATTATGGATATGTTATACAAAACTAAACCAATCCCATCACATATTGTACAATTGGTTCCTCATTGGTGTGCTGCCTGCTTGCACCTCTTCCCCTGTCCCCCTGCTTCTTTTTCTACCCGGTTGTACTCTGCCACTAGTTCCTCTGGGTTCCCTGTAAACTACCTGTTGACCCTAACTTGCCTGGTTCACCCATCTGGGTATCCGCCCCTCCCTCGCACAGGCCTCCTGAGGACTCGCTAGTTGTGCCAGGCCTCTGTAGGGTGCAGGGTTGAGAAGGCCATCCCTGAGGTGGGTTTCCCATTGGGACAAGCGGTCCCAGGAGGTGGTTCCTGGCTTACCATGTTATAAATATTTATCTGTATACCCTTAGTGTTGTTGAATTTATATCATTGGGACTACTTACCAGAAGTTTTTCTCTACTTGTTGGGTGATATATAGAGGATAAGAATAGTATGTATATTATAATGTAATAAACTGTAATTAGTTAAGAGCATTGGTGTGGAGTCTATTCAATAGAGGAAAGAGGGACCTGAGTTCAAATCATAGGTGTCCCTCTCACAGTACTGTTGCCTGCCTCATCTATCCCTTCCAATTGAGGATGGGCACACCCTTGGGTGTTCCTGGGTTACAAATGGAGCGGCCTTGGATCTTGAAATACTGCAGAGGAGCCTGGCTAACCAGTAGTCCTTGGCTGGAAAAGCAAGAGTAAGGAGTATTGCTGGAGTAAGAAGTGATAGTGAGAAGAATAGAGGCATGTTCCTGATTTGGGGATGGGGCTAGATGAGGAAACCTTTCTTGTAGATCCAATGACCTGTTTCTCTTGAAGGATTTATTTTGCAACACTGCCAACATAAGTTTTGCCGAGCCTTTTATATGCTTGTAACTTGTTTCTAAAGCAAAATAAATAAAATAAAATAAAAATTCTCTTGTTTGTAATTCCAGTTATATCAAGAATAACCTTTCTCTTCTAGGCCCTGGCTGGGGTTCCTAGATATTTCTCTTAATCCCTTTGCATAGCATTCATAATTCCCTCCCCTCTTCTACAAAATATTCAAAGTCTGAACTGAAGAGAAGGCAAATAGGCTGTGTCCAGGATCAGCTTAAAAATATGACGCAGAGTAAAATTTGAATGTCCTTGTTTAATAGGAAAAGCTTTCCTAGTATGTTATGAGGCTGAGTCTTGGCAGACATTTTCAGCAGCTCAAGCCCTTCAGAATGTAAGTAGCTCATACTGTAAGTTATGAAGTATTTTACTGAATTTCTCAAAGCACAACAGTAGGAGTTTAGGGGCTGCCTGAACTGCTTAGAGCTCTTTGTATAAGAATATAAAGTGTTTATAGTGCTTGGATTAAAAAACAAGTTTGCATTCCAGATCTTTAGTACTGAAAACTAGCATCATCCTGAAAGCATTTGCAAGGAAGCATGTGGATCTAATTTAGGGTTATGGAAGATGATTCTGGTGACTAACATGGATTGCTACAGTATCTGGAGACCAATGAAATGGAAACTGTGTTCTTGAATAGAGGGGAAAGAGAAGGAAGATATTGGCTTGGTCTCTACTGTATGCTGTTACCTGATATAGTGCATCAAAAGATTGCAACCATGCTTTATCACCTTTCATACATTTTCCAAAGCACATGTTTACCTAAGATGGGGGTAGGGGAGAAACGTAATTTGCTTTATTCAAATCCTATATCTGTGCAAACCAGAAACTTCAATAATACTGGACACTAGGGAAAACCATGGCTGAGGATAAGGTATGCATGGTTTTCCTCTATTACAAACTGAAGCTGTTAAGGTAGATCTTATTTGTGTGTTTTTGGGGGGTGGGGAATGGGGGGTGCTTTGGTTATCCCCCTCTGGATTTTGAGGTAGTCCTGTATCACAGGCCTTCAGATTTTTTGTTTTTAACACCCAGTGTGCTTCTCAGTTCACCAGTACCTAGGAACCATAATTTAAGACTGTGTATTTCCTTAAGCTTGAGAGAGAATTCAAATAAGGGTATAAATAGCAGAAGTTTGCATGAGAGGAAACACCCAGCTGACAGAGCTGAACTCAATTCACTGATCCTTAACCTAGTAGGGGGAAGGGAGGATTGAATACAACTGGGCTACTATTATGCAAGGTTATCAAAAGCAACCGGTGATTTTGAGTTTTTTAGGTTACTTAATTCTTGACTTCTGAAGAAAACCTCACTACTCAAACTAACTGCCCATCCTTTGTGAATCAGGCCTTTGAGGACATTGGATTGTATACCTCAGTGGTTCTCAACTTCTTCCATTAGACTTGAGAAACCCCTTGGAAAATGTCAGCTCTTCCTTTTTTGCTACAGAAAAATAATAGAGAATTCTGTTGCAAAAGAAATCAAAGACCTCAATAGGTCAGAGATGCCTTTACTGCTATGGATTCCTATTTGAAATCTCTGGGTTTATTTTAGGAATCCTGGATAGGTGTTTGCACGTCTGACTCTGGCAATATTGACGCTACACCCTTAAAAGGATCTTGCAGCCCCATTATTGACAATCACTGGCATACCCAAATGCAGAGACTCCTAATCATTGCTTGCTTCAAAAATCCTCTTGGCCAATGTAGATGGCATATTTCTTTGGTGGAAGCTTGTGCTGTAATACGTTTGTGGTTTGTGTGTGTGATACAAATTTTCTTATCACTCCTAACTTCTCTGTATGAAATCAAGTCTGTTCATCAGCACCCTTCTCACCATTCTTTCTGTACTGGTCCCAAACCAGATATAGTTGTAAAACTGATAGGAACCTTACAAAGCCCTTTAGGTCCTAACCAAAGTGGATTAGGTGTTTAACTCATCCTCTGCCTTTCCTTTTTTATTTCTTCCCCCCACCCCCTTCCCCTTCAGCTGGGTTTTTCTTAAACACCTGATTTAAATTTCTTGCTCATCTAGTCCTCTGAATTATCCTGTTTAAAAAGATGGTGAAGTTTGTTCATGATGATTTCTATGTTATAACTTTTTTTTTTTTTTTTTTTTTTAATGTTGTGCAGGATGTAACTTTGTTCTTCCAAGTGTGCTAAGTTTGCATTTGTTTTAATAGGAATTAGGCTTCTTCTGAGGCAGAGACTTGTTCTAAGTCCTCCACATATGCTGGAGATTCAAATAATATTTGTTGCTGCTGTCTGATAAATGGACTCAATCAAAGCTGCTTATTTGTTACTATATACATTTGTCCAAGACCCACTTTCTCTCGGCTCATCCCTATAATTGGTATGCACAAGACAGTCTGTAGCATACGTGCTTTTAAGAAATGTATCTGGTGTACAGGATAGTGCAAAAGCACTTTTCTTTCTAAATCACTAATCCAAGTTCGTTCATTCATTCATTCATGCATCAAAGCAAACAACCTCCTGAAGGCAAACCTTTGAGAAACAAAGGCATGTGAACATATTAAAAGTAGCTACTTCCAACAGCTTTGGTTTCATTGCTTGTTGACTAGGAACATTAGAACATAGTTGCACCATAATAACTGTAGGTGTATTTGCTTTTTTTTTTTTTATATTGTCCAAGGTACTGAAAATAAACAAAATGCAAACTGCATGGTACTAAAAGATTTTGTGGGCCTGATTTCTGCAACAAAATTGAATTGAGAAGGGAATTTTCTTAACAATGAATAGTAAAACAAACTTCATTTGCACTCTTATGAAAGAATTCATAGGGAGCCTGACAAACAGTTTCAGCTGCCTAAGACTAAGTTCATACCACCTGCCTCCTGAGCCCCATCCATGGCAAGGAATGAGCCCCAACCCCATGGCCAGCAGGCTGGGTGTAGTGATTTCCAACTCTCCCACTTCATGGGCTTGTAAATTCCACTCCTGGAAGTGGGTGCTCCAGTAAGCACAGGAACACTATTACACCTCATTTCTACTGTTAACCTCTCACTGTCATCATCTACTACATTGTGGCTGTGGCACAGTACTGGAATATCGATAGCAAATGGCAATATTGCTACAGTTGCTGAGTAGAAGGTAAATATTCATCCCTTGGCATAAAACCATAGAACAGCAAATTTTCAGGAAAAACCAAATGGTCTTGTCGCAGCATCGCTCATTCCTTTGTAGAAGTGTGCATGCTGGTGCGTGTCCTACAGAAGGAATATCTTATGTGGGACAGCTTGAAAACGGTGTGTATAGTTTCAAAAGAAAAGTTATTTTCCCTCAAATATCAGCAACTAAATGTACAGGATTGAAAGTGGCAACCATTTAAGGTGAGGGGATGTTTTTAAATTCTTCTACAAAACTATAACCAATCACTGTAGTAGTAATAGTATTATAAACGTATTGTACCTCTAGAGTGGCCTACAACATAATGGAATTCAAAAGTTAGTGTCTGCTACCTTTTTGGAAGTATTTCAGTAAACGCTTTTGCACATCTAAAGGGATTGCTTAAACCTTTTGACCTACTTTTAGCTCTTTTTATTAGACCATCACTCATCCATAAACCATAAATATTTAACATGAAATCTCCTTTTTGTTTAGGAGAGCAGTACAGGGCCATTAACACTAGTTGATCCAGCAATTTCCAGGTCAGAATTTATTTAATTTTGTTCAGGAATTAAAGTTATCTTAATACCAGATCATGGATATTTTAAAGTTCTTCTCTTGTGGCAGTGAGCATTCAACACCATCCCGTAAAGAAGCTACTGCATCCTCGTTGGAGAGTACCAAAATATCAACAGGTAGACTCTTAATCTACAAGCACAGAACTAATTAATACCTGCCTAAAGAGCAAATACATGAGCATATGTTGCTGCTAACAATAATAGATTTATTTTCTGTTGTCTCCTATTATAGAATTGCTCACTATGGAGACAAAATCTTCTGAGTTTGCACAGGCAAAAGAGGAAGATGTACCAACCTTTGTGGCAATGAAGCAAAATAAAGATAAGGATCTGACTGCTAATTTGTCAGGTACTGTAGCTGCTCTTAACATTTGTGTGATGGGGAAACAGCTGGCTTCCAAAAGATCGTTTGAAGTGAGGAAGTTGAGTAAGAAAAACAGCTTTGCAGAAATTCTGAGTTACATTAGATCAGAAATAACCACTCTGGCTTGCAGCTTCTCCTAGACTAAGTGGAACAGTGTATGGGGATGGGGTACTGCCTGAGTACAGGCAGTTGCAGGATTAGGGTGAAACCACTACCAATTCATTCTGCATACCTCATTTGCAGGAAGTCCTGGTTCTCTTGCCAGGGCTGTTTTTAAGTAGTACTGATTTGCATTTTTTGGGGGGGGCGCTGAGTGGAGGGGGAGAGGAAGGACAGTGGAAATCCTCTCTTTACTGGTTTGCAAAGTTCAGTACTATGTACTTAATTTAATGAAAATGAGAATCTCAAAGTACGTAGAGGTGGAAATGCTCAAAAATTGGATGCTTCTCCCCCAAGGCCAACTTTTCAAAGCAACGGAGAAAGACCAGTTCTCATTAAGATGAATTGGACTGGATGAAAAGGCTATCACAGTTCTTTTTCTTGATTATTGATATTAGTCTCATACCTACTTGTCATGGTCTTTCTTTCACTTAAAGCACATGCCTTTTCTCCTTGCACTCCCAGTAGATTCTAAATTTAAGAAAACCGTACATAATATATGGTACTGCTAAAAAAAAAAAAAAAAAAAAAAAAGGCAGAAAAGGATACACTGCACAAAATACTGAAACATTTTAAAGTACTTTAAACACTAATTTTATAACTTGCTTTATCTAACTGTTGTTCATATCGTCTATTTACCTTTTCTGAACAATAATCACTTTCCTTTTAGGCTGGATTCTGACTGCACGTTTAGATCCCGGATTCAATTTATTTGTGTTATTGTTCTACCTTATTGTCATAAAATAGCTGGGTACCCTGGGGAAGGAGTGAAACAAGCATACAAAACAGTCCAGCCATGAATCTTGCAAGTGTAAAGCTTGTTATGTTTCTTCCGCATCTTCCACATGCATAATCTTTTCTTATATTAAGATGTTTGTACTGCACATGGAGACATGAGGTGATTTGGTACATCTGTTTTTAAGTGTCATAATATCCATCAGCTCTTGGAAAATGACATGTGGGATATGTAGGGATGATATGTCGGCAGAGATTTGGCCCAATTCGGTGGCCGAATCTCCAAATCCATATTGATTCGGGAGACCCTTTAATCTCTGAATCAAATTGGAACCCTCCAAATGGATTGGGAAAGATTTGATGATTCGGATATAGACAGAGCTTTAAATCTTTTTTCTACATTGCATCAGGCAGCTCATGAATGCTGCAGTGGGGTGGATGGAGCATCCCACAGGAGTGCATGGGGCTCCACAGCAGACCTGAAAGCAGACCAGAAGCATTTCTGGTCCACTTCTGGGTCCACCAGGGAGCATGCTGGGGGGCCCGTCATGCCCCCCAGCTCAGCAACTGGTGCCTCCTAGGTCTGGGGGGCACCAACCTGCCCCCTCCCCACCAGGCTGATTTGCTGAGTGTGCTTCTGGTCTGCTTCCAGGTTCGTCGCCCAGCACGTGGGGTGGCAGGGGGTGGGGGGGCCTGTGCTCCTGTGGGGTATTCGATCCACCCCAGCATCATAGCGTTCGAGTCATGTCTGGTACCTTGAGGTATGTAGAAAAAAGATTTTAAAGCTGTGTCTATGGCTGAACCACCAATTCTCTGAATCGGCGTCGAATCTTCAGATTCGGATTCAGCCGAGTCAAATCGGGGACAGTGATCCAAATCAACTAATCGAATTGCTGTCCCTGATTTTTGGGCTGAATCCAAATTGAATATGCCCCATTTTGCATACCCATAATAAATGGATGTGGAAGGAAAACTGGTTTTCAATGCTACATGAAGGTTGAAGATGGGAAATTCTAAACGTTGAGTTCTTGTCATCTCCTCCTATTTCCTTTGGTAGCCCTAATATAGGTTAGCGTGCTCTATTTGTTTAAAGTGAATTGTGGAGTGAGCAAGAACAGTTTAGAACAGTTTCATGGCAGCAGGACTGTGCCAACTTTTAGAAAATGTTTTAAGCAGCTGGGATTTTAATAACTTAAACTGGAAGCTTCCCTGTAGCCTACAACAGGAGGCAGTAGGTCCTGGCAGTAAAGATGTTGCATAGTCTAAAGCTATGTGACTTGATTAACTCTGCAGTTTGCTACCCCCTAAATCTGCAACTACCAGCCCTTGAAGTTCAGTAACCTCCTTGCTGCTTATGCGTTCTTGCAGCTGAATGCCTGCCCTTGTATGGTACACCACAGGTCACTCTGTGGGTGCTGCTGCACCTAGAGGAAAGGCATGCCCAATTGGGCATGCCCAGTTCAGATGCTGCTTTTAAAACCTGTTCATCTTTTTCAAATGTAAGCAAAGTGAATTCATCTCTGTGGCCTAGAATCAGAATTTCTAAGCTTTATGGCAACTGTATCTGTCCTGCTTACCTTGATATAAGCTAGGGTGGATGGTGGACAGAGTTGCAATTAGAGCCTCTTTAGCTGCTCCCTGATGAGACTTTTTTTTTTTTCCTTAAACAAGTCCCTTTCTACTTTAAACATTCTCTATACTTTTAAAAAAGGTTGAGACATCCAAAACATGGAAACTTTTTTAGCCCAAAAGCAAATGTTTTGGAAAATTTATGAGCATATGGAAACTTCAATTGCAACTCATCATACTGGTAGCAGCTGCTCTGTTCTTAGTGGTATTGCTTCATATTGTAATATTTTGGCTTGATAAATGGCATCACAGCATCCCTTCCTCCACACTCCCACAGTGTTGTGCGTCTTAGAAAGGCCTCTTTCCTTCTGTGTGCTCTTCTGGGAATTACTATGAGTTGTATGGTGAAAGAAAGTTCAGAGGCTTTTGAGATGATTACATTCACTTCCTTTTAAATGTTTCTCTTCAGGTGCTGATCTGACTAGGGAGTTCTGCCCAAGCACAGAAGATCACAGAACTACAGCTGAAAATGCCTTAAAGTTAAATGTGGTAAGACCACATAAAATGCTGAAGTCCTTAATAATGTTGCAGTTGGTTTAAGCCATAAGAAGGGAATCCTGACACAAGTCTGGACCCTTTTAAGTTGTTTGTGGCATTTTGCTTCACTGGAGTAACTAGGGCAGGACAACCAGGGCAGCCACCTTAGGTATTGAGTTGAGGGGAGGAACAGGGAGGTGGGGAAAAAAAGGGTAGCTACTGCAGCTATGGAATCACAGTGAGATGGCAATGGAAGATGCCTTGTGGCAGCTGCCCCAGGTGCCCGGCTACATTGTTACTTTTCTAGTTTTCTTTGCATAATTGCCCTGAAACTTCTTTAGGTGTGTGAGGAAATGGAGGCTCTTAAAGAAGGAAGTGGACAAGCATCCATAGCAGTTCCCAGTATCAAAGGTAAGTTGTCCTCATATGATATCTGTATATCACAACTCAACTGGATGCAAGCTAGCTTTCCTGAATCAATGGTCTTAAACCTTAGAATATTGAAATATCTCTATCTATGATCTCACTGTATTCTGTACAACAAAAGTATTGCATAGAAATGGCACAGAACATCATTGAAATGCTGAATTACATGATGGAAAAATGTAATGTATGTGTAATGTGGCAAAATACTCTACTAGTCTAAAAGGATGTGACCTAACTGCTTATAGTGAAAGTAACAAATCTATAGTTATCAACAGGGTGTAGAGAGCTGATAAACCACGGAGCAGATCTTTTGTAACCAGGGGTCAGAGTCTCCATGAATGATATGGAGATGGGCATATTCCTGTGTGGGTGTACAGGATGTTGGTGACATCAGCTTTTTATATTTTCTTACAATTCTATCACTTATAAGATGAGACAACAAAACTATATGAACAAAGCTGCATTATGTATTGTGGCTTTAGGACCAAGTGGGTGGGTTATATATGTTCTTATGTTAAGAATCAAAATGGTGAGGGCAAAAAGAAGCAGTATCCCATCCTACAAAGACCCATTTATCCATAGTCTAAAGGCATTAGTTTAACCAGATCCCTTTTCCTTTGAGGAGAGGAGAGACATCCCTAGGGATTTTCAAATTGGGCCAGGCTATTGCTGTACTTGATGAGACCTTTTAATGCTAATGAAAAAACTTGTGATCTCTTAAAAGGATGCCCTAACCAAAGGTTTGGTGCTTTTAGCTATGTGCAAGGTGGATGACAGTCTTTATTGAGCATGTCTAGTTTTCTTTCTCATTGTAACCACATGCCTTTTTGTCTTTGGCTGATCCTCCCTGAGAATTGCAAATAGTAAATTCAACATAGCTTCTACATGGTGTGTTTGTTACTCTATCACTACAGTTTGAAGCTGTGTATCTGGGATGCCATGTGAAACCCCAGATCAATTCCTTCTAGTTCAGATCTTAATCCATGCTCTGGCTCGGGCTGATGGCTATCAAATGAGATCTTTCAATGGTCAGCTCAGTTAAATTATTAACAAACTGCTTTGCAGATCTTCAGCCTAGGCTTAATGCACCCAAGTCCACTTCTAGGTTAGTGGTTCAACAAAGTCTTGGTGAACTTGCCATCTTGCAATTTAGGGGCTCTTAACACTTTTGAGAGGAGAGGTTGCTCTGTACCTGACAATTGAGATCTGTTTTCCATGTCTTTTCAATCAGAGAATTCACCCATGGCAGCTGGCATTAAAGGAGCTAAAACCAATCTGAGCGATGAGTAAGTATCACCTTTTGCCCGATTCCAGCCTGCATATATTTAACACTTCATTCTGCTTATGTTGGTGTTGTGTTCTCCTCCTACAGTGGCTCTCCAAATGAAAAGGAGGTGGAGGTGAGTTTTTGACCTTTTGTACCTCAAATATTTCAGGGAGTAGGAATCTGTCTACTCTGTCAAGATCAGGTAAACAATTTTTTGCAGTCTACTGAACAAAAATAAGTACTGATTAGATATGGAGCAGCTTAAAACTTGACTTTCTAACTTTTTCTCAATTTAACTAATGTGCCCACATCATCTTTAACATGGATGACATAAATGTTTACTTTGTCTAGCACCCAGGTTCAAAGGGGGTCAGACTTGAAGATCTACAAGGTCCCTTCCGACCCTACTTCTATGATTCTATTAAATGAAATCCCCTAGATCAGGTGTGGGGAACTTTATTTGGGCTGGAGTTTTGGTGAGCTGTTGTAGATCAGGTCACCACCCTACCCCCAGCCCACGAGCTCACCAAAACTCCCTACATAGTCCAGGGGTGCTGGACAGAGCAGGTGGGTGGTCTCTCCATGGAGACCAGCCCAGAACCCCCTTGGCCAGGCACATGGGATAGGGCTGTGGGTAGGTGAGTGGGGAGCAGCATCTGTGAATGGGGCAGGTAGGGCCAGAGCAGAGCCATGATCAACTTTTTAAAATGATCTGTTGGACCTAGCTCTCCTTGTCTCTCAAATCCAAAGCCATCAGAGTATACCAGTTGTACCACTTGTTTGAGGCTGAACTGTCTAGTCCTGTTGCACAAGGCAACAATGACCTATGCTGGAGAAGGACCTACTCTGTTTACAAACTTACTTATCACTTGAGACTGGCAGTCAGGAAATCCTTTTTTTTTTTTTTTGGAAAACCCCTTGGGTAGAAGTTGAGACCTACTGATTTGGTTCCACCTTTTGTTTCTCAATCTCCAACGACTCTGGCTCTAGTGTTGGTGGGATAGGAGGTCTATCTTGAGTAACTGCTTAATAGTGATTGGACTTGCGTTGCTAGGTCTGTCCTGATAGCTCTCTTCTGTAAAAACAGGCAGAGTTTCTCAGATTGTCTTTGGGCTTTAAATGTGACCTGTTTACTTTGGACAAGCGAGTGCGACTTGAAGAAAGGTCTCGAGACTTGGCTGAAGAAAATTTGAAAAAGGAGATCACTAATGGACTGAAACTACTAGAGGTTAGAAGTGGATAAGATTGGAAGGGGGAAGGGATACATGGCTGGACAATGTATGTTTGGTGTACAGCTTTCTTAATAGGAATTTTATTTTGGTTTTGATCACATAGTGTGCATCTACATGCTCTTTAATGTGCTGTAATTAAAGCACGTTATGTTTGGTACCTATAGATGAGTACAACATGCACCGTAATTAGCATTACTGAGCATTAGTGCAGACGGTCTTTTTTTTTTTTTTTTTGGGGTGACATTTAATACACAGTAGATTAAATCTACTGCATATTAGCATGGGTTTTGCTTGCTGCACTAATGCACAGTAGAATTTAGTGTGCTGGAAGCATCTCGTGTAGATGCACCCATAAAGTAGTTTATCTTAAACATTAGAGATATTTAGCATTTGAAGTTCTTCTGCACCATTGAATGCATTGCGTGCTAAAAAGGAAGCTAATGTGTTTCAGTGAATGGTTTCACATTGACAACAGCATAAGGTAAACGTCCAAGGGACAGATCTGTACTTGGTGAAAATCGGCCAAACTCCACGCTGCTGATAGAACGGCACTAACTTTTGCACTAGTTGAACATGTTGGGCACTAATCCTGTGAATATATGTGCTAGTGCAGACTCTGATCTGTATGGAATCTAAGGGAAGTATGTTCATTTCCTGTCATGAGCAGCTAATTTAGGACCAGCATTTTGTTTATTTGGTGCTTGGCTCATTTGCTTTTTCTCTTCAGTTGTTAGCACCTTTGTGTGATGAAGATAATCAAGCTCAGGAGATCATTAAGAAACTGGAGAAATGTTTGCAGAGCCTTAGTCAGTATGTGACCAGGGTTGCTAGTAGAGCAGAAATGTTGGGAGCCATCAATCAAGTAAGTAACTTGACTACTTGTTTTTTATGAGGAGTACTCTTGTAAAACCCTATAATTAATATAAGAGATTAGCTTGTAACTACTTTTCTAATCTGAACAGCCAATAACACTTTTAGAGAACATTGTGGATGGATCTATGGCAGTACAAATGATGAATAAAATAGTGTCAGGAGCCAGGGCATAGCTGTATTGGATGTTGCCCAAGCAGAGAACAAAAATGCAATCCCTGCCTCAAAAAGCATCATAACAGATGGAAAAGAGAGGAAAACCTACAAGGAGACAGTGAAACTACTGATCAGTGTAATCTCAGTACCCCAGCTGGCCTGTTTTAGTTTTTGTAGGCATTGGGGAGTATTTGAGGGCTCTTGAAAAGAATAAAGTAGGCTTGGTGGATATTTATGGGAAGTTTCTTAAGCATGGGGAAGAACAAAGGAGAAAGCACAAAAGTACTTGGCTAAATAACTCCATCGCCCACCTATGGATGGATGGGATGCAGGAGAACTGAATACAAGCGTTTCTGGTAGGAAAGGGGAAAGCCAATGGAGGAATGCAAAGACTGGCTGGCCTTAAGAAAACCTAAGGCATTCTGAGTAGATGGGTGTAGTACAGGGGTGGACAATTATTTTGGCTAGAGGGATGCTTAATGAATTGGGGTTTTTTTGTTTTTGTTTTTTTGGTGATCTGTCAAGGGTCACAAGGGTAGCCTGGCCCCTTGATGGGTGCCCCGCCCTCTGCTTACCATCTTGGGACCAATGTCTTGGGACCAATGTTGCAGGGCCAGAGCAGGGCACAGGCTGGCAAGGGTTTGTGGAGCTGGGCTGGGCTGCACCAGCAGGGAGAGGGGGGAGCTGGCCCAGCTCCAGTGAGCCCCTAGGGCAGTAGGACCCAGGGGAAGCCCCAGTGGACTCCTACAACAGCAGGGCCTGCCCAGCCTCACCCCCCAGGCTTCTGGCCTGGGACCATGTGGCTCCTCACGGCTGCACTGGCACAGGAAACTCGGGTAAGGGGGAGGGCAGGGAATGAGCTGGTGCTGGGGCAGGAGAGGGGCTGCTTCTCCCTGTGCTCAGCACCAGCTTGTAACCCACTCCCGCTGCCAACCTGGGCGGGCCCCGTGCTGGCTCCGCGCCTGCCCATCTGGGCTGCACCATGACAGGAGCAGCTGCGGCCCCCCTGCTTGCCATGTTGGGCAGTGTTTGCTGCTGCCTGCCTGGAGCTCGCACTGTGGTAGGCTGCAGTGTAGCTTCCACTGCTGCCTCTCTGCTGCCCAGCAGAAGCAAACACTGCCCAGGATGGCAAGCGGGGGAGCTGCAGCTGCTCCCACCACAGTGCAGCCCTGATGGGTCCAGGCTGGCAGCGGAGGCGGGTTACAAGCTGGTGCTGAGTGCATGGGGTGGGGGGAAGCAACCCCTGCCCATGGTCCTTCCCTACCCTTCTTCCTCTTCCTCCCCCCACCTGAGTTTCCCATGCCAGTGCAGGCATGAGGAGCCACATGGTCCCAGGCCAGAAACACCTGCTGGGGCTTCCAGATGCAGGGGTGGGGCCAGGCAGGCCCTGCTGTTGCAGGAGCCTGCTGATGATTCGCCTGGCTCCTGTCATCTTTGACAGGAACTAAGAACAGATAAATACATATTCATTTTCTAATTTTTTTTTTTTCTTAGGGGCCCTGCAGGCTGGATAGAATGGTCTAGCAGGCTGCATTTTTGCCCACCCCTGACTTGCCACTGGAAGTCCCTCCCCTTGCCCCTGGAAGTTCCCCTTTTGGAAGGGGAGTATGTCACTTTGGAACTAGAATAAAATAATCACCCAGTAAAAATCAAACATTGATTAGAACGTATCTTAATTTTATTTAAAATAATATTTTTGTCCCTGTATACATGCATTTGTGTAATGTGTATAGAGGTGATAACATAATAGCTCAAAATAAAGCCTTACTCTTCTATATAGTATGTTGGGGGCAGGGTGGTTGTGGGGCGAGAATGTGTGACAAGTTCACAGGGTGTGGGGTTTGTGGGAGAGGGTGTTTGGGGGTAGGGGTATGTAGTTTTGGGGCAGTGTGGTTGTGGGGTTTGTTGGGGAGGATGTGTGGGTATGGTGGGTTATGCATGTGGGAGCCCACATGCTCTCACCTCTTCTTCTTTCCCCCTATGGCGCACAGTATCTCAGGGTGCTCATGGCCTGTGCAGGTAAAGCCCCCTGGCAGCACACAGCTCCAGCCACTTCTGGGAGCTGCACATGGCAGCAAGGCACAGGGCTCCCTGCATCTTGGATGTAGCTCCCAGGACTTGGCCAGAACACCACACTGCATGGGAGAGCCCTACATGATGGAGCTGGTGGCCTGGCCCTGCTTCCTGTCACCACATGCATTTCCCCGGACTCTGCCGGAGAGGAGGAGCAGAACTGCCCTGGCTTCACGTGGAGCTCCACTACGCTCCACTTCTGAAGTCCCAGCAGCTGCACATGACATGAGAGAGAGTGGGGAAGGATGCCAGCTCCATCACACAGGGCTTCTTTTTGGTGGTGCACAAGTCCTGGGACCTGCACAGGAGCCAAGGGAAGCCCTGTGCAATGGAACTGGGGTGACCCATGCTCCGTGTCCCTGCCACCATGCTGGGCATGGGGTCCACGAACTAAGCTCTACACTCCCACCCAGCTGCTACTTCCCTCTGCCTGCTGCCTCTTCCCTACTTGTCTGGAATGCTGCAGTAGGGACATGAGGAGGAGCTGCTGGAGGCTGGGGTAGCTGAGCAGTTTCCTGGGTGGCAGTGGCAGCAGCCCTGCTTGGAAGCTATATGCTTGGCTGGGGCTCGCTCTCACATGAGGATGAGTGTGCAGTGCACTTGCTCAGCAGCAGTGGGCAGGGCTCAGCCCCATGTGGAGTGCAGCAGGGGCAGCCAAGGGCAGGGCTGGATATAATTAATTGGTGGCCACCCATCCATGGGTTGGATGAAATCACTTGGTGGGCTGGATGCAGCCCACGGGCCATATTTTTATCTGCCTCTGGTGTAACAAGACTACATTATCAAAGCCAAAGAAAGATCTTGTGGTTACCAAGATGTGCAAGAGAAGGAAAATGTGCACGTAGCTAGGAAGGCTAATATTGGAGTGATTTGCTTGGATTTGTAACAACTCGGTGTCTGAGCTAATGGCTCTTCCATCATATTTGTATTTGCATTTATACGGTGTTATATTGTGTTTGCTAGGAGAACCGTGTCAGTAAAGCAGTAGAAGTAATGATTCAACACGTGGAAAATTTGAAACGCATGTATACCAAAGAACATGCAGAACTTGAGGAGCTGAAACAAGTTCTACTTCAAAATGAAAGATCATTTAGCTCTCTTGGAGATGGAGGTAATCCTGTTGAGAATCAAGAGCACATTTGTCTATCTTAAAAAAAGAAAAACAAAACCCTATCCTGACAGTCGCATCATGGACATCCTTGCAGAAGCTTATGTCAATGTCTTATTTCTTCCTTTTGGCTACAGGAATGTTTTATACAGAGACTTAACTTGTTGAAAGGAGAGGAGATCCTAGACCTGTAGGTCAATAAGACCAAGTCACAATTGTCATAGGTGGTAGGTTATCTTATCAAGAGAGATGGAACTGTCTCTGTATTGATGTTCTGCAGGATGATTTTTTTTTAATTTAATTAATTTTTTTATGAGGTACTGAGATGCAGTTAACTTTAGTGGAAACTGTAGTTAGCCAGGTTTTATGCTGTAATGGCAACTTTTTTTATGAACCTACTTATAATATCTGTTCCTCTTCACAGATGAATCTGCAAATAAAAGTCTTCCAAGTTCTCTCAATTACAAGGTAATGATATAACACTAGGTATTAAGGGCAAATGATGCATGCTCTGTATGTTCTTTGTCTGCTTTATATACGTATTTTACTGGTATGGTAGTAACTTTCCACTGAACTCTAAATTCTTCAAACCCTGAAAAGTAATCTATCTATCTTGGTCATGCTAACATTTCACTCTTTCAATGAAAGAAAAAAAAAAAAAGACTATATCGTTGCATTTACAGTAGCAAATTGATTTGTTGAGGTCTAAACCCTTGTGCTCTCTCTCTTGTGTTCAAGTACTATCGCTTACAGGGATTCCCTTTTTAAGGACCTTGAGAACAAAGTGTTTAGCACAGTCAGGGGGGGGAAAAATGGAATCAGTTCAGGAAAGGGACAATAGCATTATTTTGAGCATCAGTCTGTTAAAGTAGAAAATTAACACGTTAATGTGCAAAGATTCCTTGTTAGGGCACATTACATCTGTTCCAGTTGGCATAGGTTGTCCTTTATTTGTGTTAAAGTTTAATATTAACACAATCCTTTTTTACTTGCCAATCTTCTGCGTTTTTGTACAGCCTAGCCAGTGCATAAGTTAGTATTACCGCTTTATTTATGTAGCCCTCATCACTACGAAGAGTTAGCATTGCGACATTGCCCAAGAGTACTGGAAATGCTGGCATTGGTCTGTCACTGGTGAGTAAAGTTTCTCATTATAATGGTGTCTACTTGGGTTTTTAATATTTCAAAAGCAACGGCAACATTTCTAACTTCCCCTACAGACTCAACTAAATGAAACTGGTGGAGCAGAAAAGAGTGACAAATTCAACAGGAGATCAAGCAGTTGGTGAGGCTACTTGGGTCTTGTTCTTAAACGGAAGCTGAGGTTCTCAGTAGGCGTGTGCGAGTTGGCAGTGATCTGATCCGGCTTCAGATCTGGCCGCTTCGGATGCCAGGGATCCAATCCGGAGCTCCAGACCAGGTTTCTGCCTCGATTCGGCCGAAGTGGCTCCAAAGCTTCGGAGCCGCCTCGGAGATCCAGCCATAGGGTATAATGGGGATCAATGAGATGCCTATAACTTTGTTGTTTTTGTCTGATTTCGATGGAACTTTCAGGGATAGTAGCCGCTGCTGAGAGCATGAAACCTGCCAAGTTTCAAGAAGATTGGTGCAGGAGTTTGGGGGGGAACTGCAACTCAAGCTGCTGACAGGCAAAACTTGTGACATGGGTGACCGTGTGTGTGTGTGTGTGAAGGCGCTGCAGGGTTGGTGGCCCCTGCTGAGGCCATGAAGCCTGCCAGCTGTCGAGGAGATAGGTGCAGGGGGGTCCTGGGCCCTGCACCCCTAGCTCTTGGGGCAGTTGATTGTCTGTGTTAATTATTTCCTCTCCTTAACCTGGTTTTGTAGGCATGGCAATTAACTGGTTACATTAGCTAAGTCCTGTGTATTGAGCTGGTCCCTGAGTGAATCATGATTGATTTGGTAACTGGTAACACAGTAGTTTAGCAGCCAGGCCTGCAGTAGTGTCTCCCACACCAAGACAGTCAGTCCCACAAGCATCCATGGCATGAGTTTTGCTTGTCTGCAGGTTGGGGGGGCAGTTCCCCCCCAAACCCCTGCACCCATCTTGAAACTTGGCAGGCTTTGTGGCCTCAGCAGGGGCCACCATCCCTGCAGCTGTCACCCTGCTGCACCTTTAACACGCGCAGTGTCACCCATGGCATGAGTTTTGCTTGTCTGCAGGTTGGGGGGGCAGTTCCCCCCCAAACCCCTGCACCCATCTTGAAACTTGGCAGGCTTTGTGGCCTCAGCAAGAGCTACCAGCCCTGCAGTTTTGACCCCCCTGTGTTGTAACACATAGACGTGATAGGAGTTTCGCTTTCAAGAACTTGGGGTCCAGTTCCCCCCCCCCAAACCCCTGCACTGATCTTCTTGAAACTTGGCAGGATTCATACTCTCTGCATAGTCTACCACCCCTGAACATTCCATCCAAATCGGACAAAAAACAACGAAGTTATAGATACTTCATAGTTTCCCCATTATACCCTATGGCTGGATCTCCAAGGTGCTTCAGAAACTCTGAATCGCTTCAGGAAGCCTAATGAGGCCAGCGCTTTGACTTGGACATGCTGCTTCTGACGCCGAAGCTTCTCCGGATCTGAAGCTCTGTCTGAAGCCTTGCACAATACTAGTTTTCAGCTTGATCAATAGCTGTGATTAAATGGTTCCAAAGTAGTTCACAAAGCATCGTATGAAAGACCTATTATACTTGCGTAGAGTGGATCAGCAGTCGGCAACCGTATCAGGTTGTGGGCTGGAATGACACGGCCCAGGTCAGAGGTGGGTGATAGAGGCCAGCTACTACAGCTGCAACTTCTCCCCATGGAGAGCAACTGCTGCCAAATACAGATGAAGGGCAGATCAAATATAGCTAAAGGGCTTTGCAGGTTAGGTCTGGCCCACAGACCTAGCTGCTTATTCCCAGAGTAGATTTTTTTTTTTAAATCTTGGTTTTGCAAATTTTGATGCTTGCAGTCAAAGTGGTTGTAAGACTGTGCCTAAATAATGCCTGACTCTTCTGTCTGTACTTAAATTTGTAGCGCAAAGATCCTTCATGGTTCTGGGTGACTTCAGCTTGTAAGGGCCTGAGAGCTGTGAAATTGGGTGATTTGGGTTACTATGCTTAATGAAACTAGGTATTTAGACTTTAGGCTGCAAAAATTTGTGGACTAAAGTTATACAACTTAGTCCAAATGAGCGCACACACTTTAGCTGAAGCTGTTCAAATTCTAGTTTGCCACTAAGATTTGGCTAAATCCTTTTACATAATAACAGTAAAGAATACATTGTCTCATTTGACAGGGGAAGATTAGGAGCAAAGCAAAATGAGAAGCGTCCTTCACTGCAACGATTCATTAGCACATATTCCTGGACAGAGTATGAGGAAGAACACTCCGAAACAAAGTAGGTTTAGACCATTTAATTTCCAAGGCTTTTACACATTTCTTTTGAGTATTCATTGTCCTTGATGTACACATTTTATGGCAAGACTATTTGGTGCTATAAACCAAAAAAAATATTTGGTGTGCTCATGAGTACTTATAGGAGAAGCTTAACTTTTAATGCTTATCGACAGAAACACAAAGTTGGAACCACCAGTTGAAGAAACAAGAGAAGACCAACAGAGGAAGATGAGTGTTGCTGAAAAGGGGAAAAGTCCATCAAAATGGATTCTAAACTCGGCGTGAGTATGCATTTGCATTCCCCACTTATAACCAGTAATCCATGTAAGGGGAAGTGTTCAGGTGAGGTTAGGAGGAAGTAGAAGCATATTCTTGACCTAATTGTTGGTGCTAGCTTTTTAAACAAGGCTGAATTAATACATCTGGTGAAAATCCCTATGTGGCTTCAGACAAGATTTGGTTCAATTATTGATCTAACATAGTTCAAGTATGCAGTAGAGCAGGACTAGAAATTCAGTATTTGCTCTTCCCTGCTGAGGGCTCTAAGCACTAGTTGGCAGACTTGGTTGCATACAAGCACTCGCACTTGGTCATTTTCACTATACTGTGCAAGAGCTTCAGGCAGAGGGACTGACTACCCCAGCTGGAGAATACACTAGAATATACCAGCTTTTACTCAAGGCTAATAGACATTTAAATCCCAGAGAGGAGTAATATTTGAACATGGGTATCTTTAGCATTCCTAACTGCTGGTTTTAGGTGACTTCCTGCTCAGTGTGCTTTTTGTTAATTCCATTTGAGCCCCTACCAGCTCAATTTGTTGACCAGGGAATGAAGGTGCTTGCTTTTAAGGAAGGGTACAGATTCTGATATGGTGATCAGAATCTTAATCGCTTTATTTTTTTGGAACCTGACCTTGGCACTGGCCAAGAAGCCTGACTTGACAGAAAGCTAACAGCCTTGTCTTTAGGTTTCAGATTGTAAAATGATAGCTTAAGTAAAAAACCTGTGCTTCTCTATAGCTGCAACATGATGTCTTCATGGGTTTCTCATCTCAAGACTTCCTTTTGTGATGCTAACAAGACTTTATGGATTTCGGTTACCATTCTGGTCCTACTTGCTGCGTTCACAAGTTTTCTCACTGGCCTGTCTCTTCAAAGACCAGCAGATGCGGCTCCTGTGGGAACTGGGAATTCCTGGACTTCACTACAAAAGCTGTTGTGGCCATATACTGGACTTCGACACAATGGACCACCACCTACATAACACTGGATTAGAACCTTTTTGGCTTGTATAGTAACCTTTCTGTGTGGCATTTTGTTGTGAACTAACATAATAACTATATTTTAGTTGAGTAAATCTATAGATGTGAGGAGCCGAGAGGTATATTTAAAGCTAGTTTGATTATTTTAGACTTCTTTTGAAGTAATTTTCACCAGAAAAGCACAACTTAAACTATCAGAAATAGACTTTCACCTTCCATATTTCATTCAGCTTTTAGAATGTTATTTGAAACAATAAACAGGATTAAATTCTCCAACTGCTAGAGAGGAAGGAAAATGATAGTCTTTAAATGCAGAAAGCTACTTTCAGTCATTTTAAGGCTGTTCAGACTATCTGAATGTGAAATGATGGATTTCAAATTTGACTTTATTGACCTTTTTTTTTTTTTTTTTTAATGTTCAATAAATCTTTTTTTTTAAATTTTGGTTTTAAGAGTATGTTAAAACTCTAGTTCCAAGGAGTAGCTGGTATACAGCATCAGTAAATAGGCAGCTTGCTTTTTTTACTCTCTCAATTGCTGGTTCACTGGCAAAATCTTTAATCATGTGATAGAGTGTGGAATGAAATTCAGTTTCTTCTGCCAGCTCCTCTGAGAAGGCTTCACTAGTTTCACTGATCTTGAGTCTTTGTGCTCGTTGACCGTTGAACATATAAAGGGACCAATCCTCATCTTTTATAGGATCTGGGTTAAGATGTTCACTAACCTAGAACAGAAATAAAGTGTTGAAACACCAGTTCTACAATTGAGAATACTAACTAGAAGTCCCCTGGTTTTCAATACATAGACAACATAGCACCTAGACCAGTATGTTTCTAGCCTTGAATTCTGATACCTACACTTCATTCCCTGCTCCACTGGACACTGCCTATAAGACTTGATCATTCTGACACTTAAGTGTAAGCACCATATTGCCTTAATGGGAAATCTTTCCCAAGTTTAGAAGCTGCAGGCTCACCATAACAGACAGCTGCACAGGGAACTCTATCTTTTGCAGACCCTTTACTTGGGGGCCTAACTTCCATGGACTGTATACAGCATCTTACTTGGGGCTAAATATTTCACAAAGCAGCAAGACTGTCCAGAGGAGCACAGACATGCGGTCTGTGGTGCCACACACTACACATGCAGGCATTCTCTGCACTGCTAATTTGCAGCACATGGTGGGTTTTTTCACACTGGGTGGTGCATGGGGTGGTAGGGTATGCCTCCAGAAACTGGGGCCTGGCTGGCTGGAGCCAGGCTCTGGCTGCTGGCTAGGTTCTGTGCTGTCAGGTTTCTGTGACTGCAGCTCCTGGAGCCCCTTGGCACCCTAGGTAAGCCTGCAGGGGCCAGCCCAAGGGCTGGCCCCAGCCTCCCCTACCTGACCCAGGACACCATGTCAAGCATTAGAGCACATTTTCACAAGTGTTTCCTTGGGTCAAGCAGCAGTCACAGCACATTGCACCTGGACACACCCCCAGGTATTGTAGCACATAAGTATTAAGGCTGTGTGAAATTTCACCAGCAGTCTTTGTTTCAGCGCTGTTTTGACTCGTTTCGAGTGCAAAACAGCCAAATCTAAACTAAATGGAGAGCTTGGACGTGGCCTTGAAATGAAATAAGACAAGTCAAAATGTTTCAAAATTGTCTAAACATTTCAAGTTTTGAAGCTCAAGCTGGGCTTACAAGCAGGGAAACAAATTAGAGTGAGGGGGAAGGAGTGCTTTCACTATTGACTATGTAGCTGTCTAGTAGGCCTGTGTGAGTCAGCAGTGATTTGATCCAGCCGCTTCGGATGTCAGCGATCTGATCTGGAGCTCCTTTGGGTTTCTGCCTTAAGCCGGCTGAAGCAGCTCCAAAGCTTGGGAGCCACATTGAAGATCTGGCCACAGGGTATAATGGGGAATCGATGAAAGATCTATAACTTTGTTTTTTGTATGATTTGGATGAAATCTGCAGGGATAGTAGCCTCTGCTGAGGGCATGAAGCCTGCCAAGTTTCAAGAAGATCAGTGCGTGGGTTTGGGGGGAACTGTACCCCAAATTCTTGAAAGCAAAACTCCTGTCACATCTATGTGTTACAACACCAGGGGTGGGGGGAGGGTCAAAACTGCAGGAGTGGTAGCTTTTACCACCACATTTCAAGAAGATTGGTACAGGGGTTTGGGGGGAACTGCACCACAAGCTGGTGACAGGCAAAACTCATGACACACATGACCCTGTGTGTGTGTTAAGATGCAGCGGGCTGAAAACTGCAGGGGTGCTGGCCCCTGCTGAGGCCACGAAGCCTGCCAGCTGTGTGCATCTTGCTGGGGGAGTCTGTCATCTGGGGCCCTGCACCCCAAGCTGCTAAGAAGCAAAATTCATCATGTGGGTGGGTGACATTGTGTGTGTGTTAAGGTGCTCCCTTCCTGGTACTGGGGCCTCTGCACATCATGGCAGTGTGCCCCACTAAGGCTTCCTCCTCCTCCCCTACAGCCTCATGCCCAATACCCAGTGACCGTGAACTCGTGGGTGAGCTCGACCTGCCCAATAAACCACCCCTGCACCATGCAGTTCATGGCCCCCATGATCTTCCTTGCCATGGGAGACTCATCCAGCACCTCGGCTTGCAGTAGGGCCCACTGATGGCCTGACTGATCACAGTTCCCTGTGAGGGAGGTAGGCGTGATCGTCACCCCGACTGTTCCAGATGTTGGAAGTGAAGTGCAAGGCTACTTGTGGCCCTGCCTTGTGCAGGTCCTCCCTCAAGTACTCCCTGCATTCCTGATACAAGGAGGGCACCACTGTCCTGCTAAAAGTGGTGCATGTGGGCACTTTGTAAAATGGGACCAGAAGTGCTACAAAATGCCTGAACCCTGGCCACTCAACTAGGGAGAAGGGCTGGCTACCCAGAACAAGCATCTCCCCAATGCTCTGGGTGATGTTGTGTGCCTTGGGAATGCGCCCCCCTTTTCTGTCCACCTCTCCCCCACTGGTCCAGGGTGGCCTGCCTCTACTTTAGGGGTAAGGAGGCTTTGGAGTGAGTCGGGGACTTCCCTTTTAGCACACTTGTACTGGTGCCAGGCTGAGCAGCTGGAAGAAGGGTAAGGGGTGGTGCCTCCTCAGATGCAGCAGCATAGCTGTGGTGGAGAAGTGTCTCATGTCCTTGTCACAGCTCATGTGCCTTTGGCAGTGCTAGCAGATGGCAAACCTGGGATCATCTGCCACCTCAAAATGATCCCACACTACACTACTCCCCCACTTCTGGGTTGAGGGTGAGGATCCTGCCTTTTCCCCCTTCTCAGCAAGCTGAGGCTGAACAGCAGGAGGAGCTGCCTCAGCTGAGCCACTTGCTTCCTCGACCTCAGCCTCCTCTGAGATGCTGCTTTCTGGAGGAGACCTGGGTCTAGGGAAAACTTGGGGGGCGTGGAGCACAAACTCTGATTCCCCCTCAGGCCCCAGAAGTGCTTGAGCCAGCGCACTCAGCATCCCTGGTTCCAGCTCCAGCTCCACCTCTGGCAGCGGGAGGCTCACGCTGAGAGATGAACTTGGGGTGGAGGAGGCAGTGATCCCACTGCTAGTGCCCACTTCTGGACTGAGTGGAGGTGGTGCAGGTGCAGGGACATCAGGTGCAGACACTGCTCCCACTGCCTGGCTTCTACTGGCAGCACTGATGTCATGGCTGCTTGGGAATAGAATGTGTCTGTGTTTGGGATGGGGGGGCTTGCAGCTCTAGCTCTCCCCGTACCCCCTCTCCCTCCTGCTGGAAAACCTGGCACCTACCTTTCCAGCACACTTCATATTGATCTTTCCTGTGCTGCAAAAGGTCTCTGTATGTGTGTGAATCCTTTTGTATATCTGTCTTATTCTCCTGTGAATATCTGTGTCTTGTTCTGCTCTGAATAAAATTATTTGTGTGTCTTCATGTGTCTTAATATATTATCTGTGTCTTGTTCTTCTGTAAATATCTGTCTGTCTTCTTCCACTGTGATTTTTTTTTCTGTGTTCTGGGTCTCTGTGTGCGTGCAAGAAATCTGTGCCTCCTTGCACAGTGAATGATAATACTGGCTGGGAAAACACAACTTTCAATTTATTTCTTTGAATTATTTTTTTAGAAACTTTGCAAAAAAGAATTGTAATACTACTAATAATCGAATAGAATAGCTATGCTAAACTAAGCTAAGCTAAATCCTAACCACTCCTTTATAACAACAAAAAGGAGCAGGCAGGTCTCAGTTAACATTCCCCTCTCTCTCAGTCGCTGACAGGGAATGAGCTGCAAAAGGCAGAGACAGAGACTTTTATGCTTTTTTTTAGTCCCACCCCAACAGATGCTGCCATTGGAAAGGTAGCCAGGGAGAAATCCTTCTCACTGGCTGCCTAAAGATGTCAGTCTTCCCCCCACTTCTCCCCCCCAACTCCTGCTCCATCTTCTAATTGCCTCAAAATGGCCAAAGTGGGTCCAAAGCATCTGAAGTGGATCTGAAGAGCTTCGGATGCCCCCAACCCACTCCGGATACTGTTGCTGGGACCCCGCTTCAAATCTGGAAGTGCTGCTTTGGACGCCAAAGCATCCAAAGTAGTTCCGGATCCAAAGTGGGATCCAAAGACTTGTACAGTCCTACTGGCTAGTGACTGTCATCCTTTCCTGAGGTCCCTTCCAATCCCAGCACCGGTGGGGGGAGGAATGGAAAAACTGCATAAAAGGCAGCATTGTTTGAACTGCCCTGCTTTCTGCCTTGGTGTCAGTTGAGTGAGGGCGCACCTTAATGTGCATACAGTGTCACCCACCCATGTCACAAGTTTTGCCTGTCAGCAGCTAGAGGTGCAGGGCCCTGAAACCCAGACCCGCCCTGCACCTATCTCCTTGAAAGCTGACAGGCTTCATGGCCTCAGCAGGGGCTAGCAGGGGCTAGCAAGCCTGCAGCTTTCATCCTGCTGCACCTTAACACACACACAGTGCCAACCAAGTCATGAGTTTTGCTTGTCCGTAGCTTGAAGTGCAGTTTCCCTGAAACCCCTGCACCTATCTCCTTGAAACTTGGCAGGCTTCATGCCCTCAGAAGGGGCTACCATTTCTGCAAGTTTCATCCAAATCAGGCCAGAAATAACAAAGTTATAGGCTCTTTTGAGCTTCTCCACTGTAGCCAATGGGCAAAATGTCGAAACAGCGAAACCCTTTCGACGAAACGGAACAGTGGTTTGGAATCTAAATGAAATTTGAAACGAAACACTGTTCCATTGAAATGCAGGTTGAAATGAAATGGTGCCATTTCACACAGCCCTATGTAGTAGTCTTGGCTAACACCATTCTTTGGGGGCAAAATGCTCTAGATCATGGTGGTTATGAGGACAAATGTGCTGTCTGGTAGGTCTGTGCAAATAGGAAAGTATTCAATTCAGATTCTGCCAATTCAGAGGACAGTGATTTGATTCAGATCACTGTCCTGAATTGATTCGGCTGAATCTTCCAAAGCCGATTTAGATTCAGCCATAGACTATAATGGGGACTCACTGAAATACTTATAACTTTGTTATTTTTTGGCAGATTTGGATGAAAACAGCAGGGATGGTATCCCCTTCTAAGGGCATGAGGCCTGCCAAGTTTCAAGGAGATAGGTGCAGGGGTTTCTGGGACACTGTACCTCAAGGTGCTGACAAGCAAAACTCATGACATTTGTGACTCTGTGTGTGTGTGTGTGTGTGTGTGTATGTGCGTGTGTGTGTGTGTGTGCAGCGGGGCGAAAACTGCAGAAATGGTAGCCCCTGTTCTCACCCTCACAACTCCACTACAACCAGTAAACCTCAGGCCTCTCAAAGATCTTACAGGTCTGGGCTTTCCCCAGCCAGGATTGTGGCGGCTGGAGGTTATCAGGTGCCTCCTGCTCCTACCCGCCTTTCACCAGTGACAGTTGCGGTCCTGGCATTTCCTGGGGCTGCTACACCACTGGCAGTCCCACCCAGGACTCCCTACCCTGTCAGGGTGCAGTTTTAGGTCATGTCCAGGATGATGCCCCAGCCCTTATACCTCCAAGTTCTTCCTGGCATGGGAGCTCAGCAGGGAGATGTTCTTCCCCTGCTGGCTGGTGATGCAGTGAGTGCTGATACACCTCAGAGAGCGGGACATTAAATGGTTTAAAAAAACAAAATGGAAATAGGTGCGGATGGAGTGAGGAGGGTGTTATTCACTCCATCTGCAGGTGGAGCTTGGGGAACCCCAACAACAGAGGTTCACTTTGAGGAACACCAGCTGCTCCACCAAACCAGGATCTAAGGAGGTGCAGTGGGGTGTCACAACATCCCCAGCAATGCTGAACACCCTCTCACTTGGAACACTGGCCAGTAGACAGGATCTGGCTACAGTTGCCTGGGAACACCTGTCCTGTCACATCTAGCTGCGGGTTGCCCAACAGGCCAAAGGGTCGCAGTGCAGTGGCTCCATGTCCTTGGTGACCTAGGTAGCCACTGAAGCCTCGGCACTACCTACCCGAGGCTGGGGTCTGGTGCATCTGGACCCCAACATTGCAGTCATGCCCTTGACCCACAATGGAGGCAGCAGGCATGGAGGAAACTGGCTGGTGCAGGGAATGCTGGCACAGGAAAGTGCACCCCCTTGCCTCCACCCCTCTGCCTCCATGACTTCACCAACACCTTCATCCAATGATTGAGCGTTTTGGTGCTGCTAGTGCACATGCTCTCCTTCATCCTCGGGTCGCACATTCCTGCCAGCATGTGGACCGTACTGGCCTGCATCAGATCCAATCATTTTTGATGCCCTCCTTCAGCTGCTTCATCAGTGCCTGCACCTCTGGTGAAAGCTGTTTGCCCCAGCCAGGAACATTGATCCCCTGGAAGTTTTCCATTTGGTTCTCAAGCTCCTTGGCTATGGGGATCACCTGGCTAAGGAGGACATTGCCAGCACTGAGGGTCTTGGTGGCCTTGAGGAACAGCTTGAGGACCACCAAGATCTGGGAGATGGTATCCCACTCAGCTTTGTTAAGGGGGCCACTGATCTCAAGCAAGGCCATCTCATGGATGGCCTTCTGTTGCTCCACCAGGCTTTCCAGCATTAGCTATGTGGAGTTCCACCAAGTCTCCACATCCTGTATGATTTTGTGCTGCGGGATGCTCAGCTCTGTTTGTTTGTCCCACAGCATCTTGCCCCCCCCAATGCTGCGGTGGAAGTATCCTGCCACCTTCCTGCATTTGGAAATCAGCTGGGTGGTAGTGACAGCACCATCACTGGCAGCCCTGTCCCCCTCCAAGGCATCCCTGACTATGAGGTGCAGGTTGAAGCTTGTTTGCCACACAGCAGAAGCCAAGAAAGTTGGCATCACAAACCTCCTTGACCATATTGGCCCCGTTGTCAGTGAACCCGCGGATGAGTTCGCCCTGCACAATGAGTCACCCCGCCCCCCCTCTTTGTCTGTGGCTTTCCCCCACCAGTCCAGGGTGGCCTGCCTCTGCTTCGTGGGGACAGGGGCTTTGGATCGAGAGAAGGACTTCCCTTTGGGCATGCTCCCACTGGTGCCAGGCTGAGAAGGAACAAGGGCAAGGGGGTGCTGCCTCCTGAGCTGCAGCAGCACTGCCGTGGTGGTGAAGTGTTTCACCTCCTTGCCCTGGCCAATCTGCCTTCAGCAGTGCTGGCAGTTAGCATACTTGGGCTCATCTGCCACCTAAAAATGATCCCACATTACACTACCCCCCAGTTTCTGTGCTGAGGGTTGGGATCCTCCCTTATCCCTCTCCTCAGCAGGCTGAGGCACAACAGCAGGAGCAGCTGGGTCAGCTGAGCCACTTGCTTCCACAACCTCAGCCTCCCCCAAGATGCTTTCCAGAGAAGGAGACCTGGGTCTAGGGGAACTTTGAGAGGTGTGGAGCACAAACTCGGATTCCCCCTTGTTCCCCAGAATTTCTTTTGCTAGGGTGCTCAGATTCCGTTTCCAAATCCAGCTCCTCTTATGGCACTGGGAGGCTCATGCTGGGAGATGAAATTGTGGTGGGGGACACTGTCATTCTGGTGTTGGTGGCTATTTATGGTGTTAGGGGAGATGGTGGAGGTGCAGGGACAGGTACTGCTCCCACTTCCTTGCTTCGACTGCCAGCATAAGATTCATCGCTCCCAGAAAAGAGTTGTTTGGAGTGGGAGTGAGGGGGGGGGGATGACTTGCAGTTCTCTCCTACCCTTTCTAGCCACTCTCTTTCCCCTGCCAGAAGACCTGGCACCTACCTTCCCAGCACACTTCATATTAATCTTTCCTGTGCTGGAAAACATGTCTGTGTGTATGTGCAGCTGTAATAAATTTTCTTCACTCTGTGTGTGTAACTAACTAATAATATCTCTTCTTCTCTGATTACTGAATGTGTCTGACTACTATCTCTTCTTCTTCTCTGTTGTGTTTACTGCGTGCGTGTGTGTAATATTAATATCTCTTCTTCTTCTCTGTGTATGTGTGTGTAATGTATGTGCTTTCCTGCACAGTGATGGATCACACTGCCCAGGAAAATACAGCTTTCTTTTAAAGTGCGGGGGGAAAATAACAAGAACAAATAATTTTGGGGGGTAGAATAAGTTGAAAGAAATGGATTGGATAGGGATAAGTAGAGGGATTCTAGGCAAGGGTAATTAGCAAGCTGTATCCAATCATTTTCAAGACAACAGACTAGCAGGAGACTGACTAGGGAGCCAAGCCAGTCTAGTAGTATGTTTCAGACACTGTTCCTCAGGCAGAAACAGCTCACAAAAGGGAGAGAAAGGCTGCAGAGGCTTATATGCTGTTTCTACGTCCCTTCCCCAGAGCACTGTGATTGGAAGGGGACTCAGGGAAAGATCACAGCCACTGGCCAGCTACAGATGTCAGTCTTTCCCCTCCCTACTCCCCCTCCCATTTCTCAGTTTCTGTTCCCCTGAAAGACTGACTTCTGACTTCTCCACATTTTTCTGAACCTTTTCCAAATCAATTCAAAGGCTCCAAATTTACTCGGGGGGCGGGGGGGCGGGGCGGTTTGTCTCCTGATTCAATTTGGATTTGGTGGTTTGGTCTCCGAATTGGGCCAAATCTTCTCCGAATCGAATCGGCAACCGAAACTTCACACACCTATACTATCTGGCCTTATATTATACACCTAATATAATCTCTGATTGTTATATCAGAGAGATTAAAGCTTTTTAATAGGGACCTGCCCTTTTAAGGTAGAGATTTGATAGGGATTGTGTTCTTACCTCGTTTTCTTGTCTAAAAGAGCAATAGGAATTCAGCATATGGTATGTGGGGACAGTAATGTAATCACTAAATGTATCATGTTAAGTACTCATGAAATGCTGATTTCCAGAACCCTAGTACTGCCTGATGTAAACTGATGACCTGGATGGTTTAATTGCAATTAACTGAATCCCAGAAGGAATCATGCCAAAAGGGCCTGAGCACTAAAGTCTTCTTAAGGGAGTCAGGCTGGGGGGTCAGAAATGGGGCTTTCCTGATAAAAAACAAACAAACCTGAGCAGCCAGCTGGTAGTAGAGATCCTTTCATTAGACTTTGAATGAAACTTCACCTTATTGCATCCAGCCATGTCTTAAGACTCCCATAAGTTAAGGTCAGTTGCACACGCTAGGTGACCTATAAGGCACAGAAGTTTATGGATGCAGTTTTGGTAACAGTTTATACCTTTGTGAAGGGACAAGGATATATGTATATGTAGGAGGAAGTAGAAGCATATTCTGGCTGAAGGCTGAATTAAGACATCTGGTGAAAGTCTCTATGTGACTTCAGACAAGATTTAGTTCAATTATTGATCTAACAGTTCAAGTATGCAGTAGAGCAGGACTAGAAATTCAGTATTTGCTCTTCCCTGCTGAGGGCTCTAAGCACTAGTTGACAGACTTAGTTGCATACAAGCACTCACGCTTGGTCATTTTCACTATTCTATGCAAGAGCTTCAGTCAGAGGGACTGACTACCCCAGTTGCAGAATACACTGTAGAATATACCACTTTTTGTGTGTGTGTGTGTGTGTGTGTGTGTACACACACACACACACACACACACACACACACACACATCCTTGTCCCTTCACAAAGGTATAGACTGTTACCAAAACTGTAGTGGAAAAATCAGACCTTGGTATGCTACAGTGAGCTGCTAAAGTTAAACTCTAATGCTGTCGCAACTCCAGAATTGCAGCCTAATTCTAACTGCTAATGACTGTTCTGTCTGTTCCTTCATTTAGTATGCATTGTTGTTTTAGACATTAGGAAACTTTTAAGATGTTTAAATAAACCTTGAAAACTACTTGATCTTCACCAGACTCCAAATTCCATTTGCTCCAACTGAAAGCAAAAGCAGATGCGGTCAGTGCCATCTGTTGATAAGCTCTGATTTCTGCTAATGGAGTCTGCAAAGCAAAGGTACAGAACAGAAACGGTTTGTTCGAAATTGCAACACTCAAATAGTGGTTCCCAACTTTGTTAGATTTACGTCACCCCTTGAAGAATGCCAGACTTTGGCTTTCTTCTTCTCTCTCTGACTACAGAAAAATATTTGAGCAATTCTTCTGTGGCAAAGAATGCAGAAATTGTATAGGTGTTTGTACACCTAATAGTGAGAACATTGCATGGAACTCTTAAAAGAACCTTGCAGCACCCCAGGGCGGTGTGGTACCCTAGCTCAGAATCACTGCTGTAAACACATGCATGCTCAAAGTTAATTCTGGGGATTCTGTTTTCTCCTCAGTTGCTCTGAAAGTCAGTGAGCGGGGGCTACTGGATGATGTATCTAGCTCACTGCAAGAAAACGTTATTATAAAATGTAAAAATGCCTTACCTTTTTGTTTACATAGACGTACTTGCGAGAGTACTCTGCTGGGAAGATGTTCACACCAGCCTTTTTCAACGCAATTGTTAGACCAACTGGAGTTGTCCACCTTCCTGTCAAGTAGGAAAGCACCTCACCCTTTTCCACAATTATTGAGGATAACATACATTGATTACCCTGTTGTAAAATGCAAGGAAAAAAGCTTTTATTTCTGATGGAAATTATTACATAGCTCAGACCTTTGATGACTTCTTCACATACAAGGTCACATACATATTAGGGGTGTGAGAAGTGGGCCCTATTCGATTCGGATCTAACCCGAATCAGGGACAGTGATTTGATTCATTGATTCAGATCACTATCTCTGATTTCATTTGGCTGAATCCAAGTCTGAAGATTCAATGCTGATTTAGATATAGACACAGCTTTAAATGTTTTTCTACATACCTTGAGGTTGAGGTACCACTGCAGCTTGTGAATGATGCAATGCTAGGGCGCATGAAGTATCCCACAGGAGCAGGGGGGGGCCTCCATGTGCTTGGCAGTGAGGTTCTCCCCCCCGAAATTTCCCTTTCCTTAAATGTATTCCCTTGCTTCTAGTTCTGTAGCTTTTTTCTCCCCCCCCCCCCCCCCCCCCCCCCCCATAATCCCCTGGCTCAGCGATCAGCCATGGAGGGACCCCAGGTGCTCCCCTCCGACCCAGGAAGCACCTGTCACTGAGCTGGGGAGGTGCAGGGAGCCCCCACTGTGCGCTCCCTGGCAGACCCAGAATTGGATTGGAGGTGCTTCTGGTCCCCTTCTGGGTCTGCTGCTGAGCATGTTGGGGATCCCCCCCATGCTTCTGTGGGACACTCCACACACCCCAGCATTACAGTACTCACAAGCCACCTGCTACCTAGAGGTATGTAGAAAAAATATTTTGTGTCTATGTCTGAATCTCTGAATCTTTCCAAATCTCTCTGAATTGATTTGGAGGGTTCTGATTTGATTCAGACAGATTAAAGGGTCCTCTGATTCAATTCCAGTTTGGAGATTTGGCCACCTAATTGGGCCAAATCTCTGCTGAATCGAATCAGGACCAAAGCTTTGTACAGCTCTAATATATATTCACTTTGAATGTTTCTGATGTATGCAAGTGCAAACACATGTCCAGCACTGTCAAGCAATGATATCCAGGACAAGTAAGGGAAGCAAATATAAAGGCTCATGTTCTCATATGAGCTTTTAATTCAGTTGTAAATTACTTTTCAGACTTCAAGGATAAGTAAAAGGTGGATGTATATACAGATTTTAAAATACTTGCTGCTGATTTATTGCAAGTTGCATTTAAAATATCAGATCTGAGAATCCATGAGACCTGCCATTTTCAAAGTACAGGATTTAGAGCTGCTTACAAGAAGTAAGAATGATTCTTGCTGGCCTGTTCGGGGAAAGTCCTTGAGTTAAGTCACCATCTCTGTTCCATGCTCTTTGAAGATGGAAGCAAATCCTTCTCAAACTAAGGTTAATTAACAAGTATATATGAGCATCCCAAATTCCAAAATCTTTAACCATACAAATCTGTATTTGATTTACTTAAATCAAGACACTTGTACCTTAATTTGTATTTGAACCTCTGCAAAGGCAGTAATGACAGTAAGAAACAACTCATCTATGTCAGTAGGTCGCAGATCCCAGGATTGGTAGGGCATATTGAGGTGAAGGTCCTGAAGCAGGGCAACCGTATAAAAACTATCCATCTCAAAGGAGACTTGTTTCTCTTCCATCTTGTAATTTATGTTGCTGATGCCATCAGTTCTCCACTGTTTGCCTTGTAAGGGAGAAGAAACAGTAGTATTGGAGCCTCTAATTGTGGTCTTAGAAAACAACATAGAGTTCTGGAGGAATTTAGGCATGTAATGGAGGCAGGAGATTACTTGATTGACTTAAGTGAGAGTTAGACTGAACTGCATATGGGCAAACTGGCACCACCAATTTCTCCTTCACCTAAACCAACAGTATCAAGCAGGCTGTTACCATTTTTAAATTGCTGGGAGTTCATTTTTAATCCTCATCTCAAGCCTTGGTATATATAGTTGATTTCAGTGCAGTGCTTTAACCTAACCTTCAGTTATGAAAAAAACAAGGACTTCCTTTTTTTCCTTTCACTGGACGTGTTTACACGTGCAATTAATGCACAGCAATAAACCCTGGTGCATATAGGAGTAATTCCCCAGTTCTACTGAACTCTAGTAGACTTTGCATTTCTATTGGTAACTGAGAGTAATGTTTGGCCTCTTAGGGTGTGTCCACACGAGCCTGGACATTTCTTTCTTTGGGGACAAGAAGCAGCAGCACACCTTGTGCTGCTGCTACTTGTTCCCAGGGAATGCCTGTGCCACGTGCCCTCTAGCACATGGCAGGCTACCCTGGGTGAGATAGGGGAGACTGGGGCCAGCAACTGTACTGGCCCCAGCAGGCTTACCTGGGGGGCCTTGGGGAGCTGCAGCTATGGTGAACCTTCTGCTCAGAGTTTGCTCGGAGGCTCCAGTACTGGGCAGCATGTGCTGTCCCCGCATGCACCACCCTGCTTTTTTTTTTTACCCTGGGATCTTCTGGAGTCAAAAAACACCCCCGATGCTGCTACCTTGCAGTACAGGGAACACCTGAATGTACAGTGTGTGGTGCTGCAGACAGGACTACAGCACCACATGCTGTAGCCCCGTCTACGCTCATCTAGACACAGCCTTAAATGTAAGATTTGAGAGAAAAGTGGGGTTAAAAAATTCTATTTATAATATTTACTCATTTCATTTTTATCATTAACCATTGTGTCGTGCAATTTACTTTTAATCATTAAATTAATGAGGTGGAAGAACTACAGAACTGTTAGTGAAATTTTATTAAATTAAAAATACTGTAACTTGATTAATCAGTACATTATGTGTATGCAGGCATAGCTATTAACAAAAACCAGCAAAATATTTTCTCTGTAATTTGCTGATTTGTATGAATCAAATTGCTCCTTGGAAACTGGTTTTTCATTTCTCTTCTGTTCAACAAATTTTCTTGAAGTTTACAGTAGAACCTTGCCTGCCAGGCATGTTTCAAAACAAGGACCTATAGGGTCTGCAGTTCTAGCACTAGACTTTTTTCTGCATCCATGTTCTGTAATTCTGCACATCCTGTCAGGTGGACTACTTACGATCCAGGGTTCCTTCCATCCCTTTCATGCTTTTTGTGTTGTTCTGTATCAGACCAAAACTGAATTCCAAACTATTAAACATTTCCATAAGATGGAATACAGTTTTCTACCCAGCTCTAATATTTATAACAAAATGGAAGCTACAGGATGAAAACTCAAATCAGTAAAGATGAGATTAAGCACATTAGGCCCCCTCTACACATTACACAGTTAACTGATTAATAGCACAATTACCTTGAGACCAGTTATATGTGCAAATTACCTATCACGGCATAAAAAGCTCCATCTATGAAGTTAGATCCCAAAAATGTGTACTCACTTTATAGCAGGTTGCTTTTGAGCTTTAATTTGCACGTGTAGCAGAGTCTCCCCTGTGGCTGGGAGACCTTTTCAGCTGACAGGGCTCCCAGCCACATGGGTGCACCAAGTCCAGCTAGGGCTGGAAGTCCCACAAGTAGGGGGACTCAGCCCCAGCAGCTATCAACTCTGGGTCCTGGCAGCACAGGGACACAGAGGCCTTTAGATGAGAACTCTGGGTGCTGGGACCTACCTGGGTCCTGGTAACTGGGGGTGTGTGACTTTCCTGGGGGCGTATGAAACTTCCAGGACTGGGGAATTGTGGCAGCTGTGATCCCTCACTTTGGGGGTGCATGAGTCATCCCCGTGGCTGGGAGCCGCACAACTAGGGCCCTTAGTTGTAGAAATTACTTTAAGATCATTTGGTAAATGCTTTTGCAGTTTGACTGAGGGCTGAAATACTACATAACACTTTTTTTCTTTCCAAATAATTTACAAAGTGAGAGCAATTGCTCGAAATGGATGAAGTGAAAGCCTTGAATCGAGTATATTAAAAATGAAGCACAAATGTAATATTAAGATAGTTTTCAAAAAGTGAAGCGAAACAGTCAGTAAAGATTCCAGACTAAACTCAAAATCAGATCTGTTCCTCTCTATAGTGGAACTTTTGCGAACGTTTCTGAACTTTGCAAAACCTCAAAGCCCGATCTGAACTTTTTAGCTTAAACTTGAGAGGTTTTAATTTCAGAATATGTGTATAATAAGTAGCTGGAGACTTAACTGTACCTGCAGTATCCCATCTAGCAACAGTAGGCTCCTCAAAATATATCACAGTGTCAAGAAGCTGAACAGTCATTCCAATCTGTGGATATGTGGCCTCCTCGCTTTCTTCTGATTCTGGGGGATACGGATATGTTTCCAATCCCATGTCAAGTAACTTCGAGTGTGAGGTGGAAAAAAAGAAAAAAGAATTAAATGAGAAACTGCAATGATCTATTTTTATCCACATGGGTTTGCTGCAAAGTTGCTAAAATAAAACCTAAGGATCTAAAAACGTTTATGTTACTTTATAAGCCCAAGCATCTAGGAAATGTTGTGAATATTATGCCACTTCTACTGCATCTGCCATTTAAGGATGTCAAACTGTAGTACTGTTTGTTTAGGGGAATCATGGGAGCTTAAGCACACACTAGGGTGAAGCTTATCCTGATGTGGAAACCAGTGTAAAGTTTTGACACACAAGCCCCTCACTGGTGTTACAATGTAGAAGATTGTAAGAGAACAAATTGCTTAAATGCATCTGGGGTGTTGGTCTAAGGACATAGGCATACAAGTTTCTTTGGGCCAATGTGATATCTTTCATTAGACCAACTGAAGAGTTAAAAAAATTGTTCTTTGCAGGCTTTTGGGTACAAACACCCTTCTTCAGGTATAGGGAGCATCTGCTGTTTTTCTGTGTGGTATGTCATAACTAATGGTGTGGATGGCATGCAATCCTGCCTTACATATATATCTACAAGAGCAAGATTATAACTCAAAGTACAGACTTCAAGATATTACTGAACTTATATACTTCATCCTCACACACAACACCTTCTGTTTTAACAACCAACACTTCCTCCAGACCATGGGCAAAGCTATGGGAACCAAAATGGTCTTTCATGGCCACCAACCTTCTCATGGCCCACCTGGAAGAAGAATTCCTCAAGAGCTACACCCTCAAATCCATGCTATACCTAAGATATATTGATGACATCTTCATCATTTGGACTGAAAACCTGCAGTCTTTGATTGATTTCCATCAGAATTCAATAATCATCACACCTCTATCAGACTCTTTCTTGAATACTCCAGCATCAACATCTCCTTTTTAGACACTATGATAAATATTCTGAATGGTAAAATACAAACCACCACATACAAGAAACCCACAGACCAACATACATATCTACACAGAACCAGCAATCACCCTAAACACACTGAGAAAGCTGTAGTATACAGCCAAGCTCTCCGATACCACCGAATTTGCACTGAGAAGAATACCCGCAATTGTCACCTTGCAAATCTCAAAAGGGTTTTCACCCAACAAGGACACTCCTTCAGAAAGATAGATCATACTTTTGAAAGAGCCACCCACATACCACATGAAGAATTGCTGCAGTGCAAAAAGAAAATCCCCATGAATTGTACACCATTATTTATGGTATACAATCCTTCCCTGGAACCTATAGGGAAAATCCTCAAGCCATTGCAACCCATACTAGAAGAAGACCCAATTCTCAAAGAGATCTTTCCACAACCACCCTTTCTAGCCTTTAAACAAGCACCAAACCTCGCCAATCTCATCACCAGAAGCAAATTTCCTATGGCCCAAAGCACACCAAATGGATTCAGACCAGAGATCCACAAAATGGTGCAAAATCGTGGATATGCAAATTGGCGGATCCAGCTGGCAGCCGAACTCCATTTCCCAGCAGCCTCCGCCTGCATGGCTGGGGCTGGTCTCCATGGAGACCGCAGCTGCAGCTGCACTGTGATGGTAGATTGGGGCCTGCCCACACCCCGGGGAGGGCTGCGGGGGCTGTGCCGGATTGCTTTCAGGGGTGCAGGCCCCTGATTTGCCTCCCGGATTACAGGAGTCTGGTGCTGCCACCTGGGGCCAGCAGCAGGTAGGCCCAGGGCAAATCAGCTCATGTAGGGACTCTCCCCTGCCCTGGGATCAGGGCGGTGGTGGGTCCCTGCATGAGCTGATATGCCCCAGGCCCCGTACTGGAGCCAGCCTGAGGAGGGTGCAGGGCTTTGGGCAACTCAACTTGTGTGGGGACCTGCCCCCATTCTGGCCCCAGGCAGCAGCATCAGCCTCCTGCAATCCGGGAGGCAGATCAGGGGCCCACACTCCCAGGAGCAGTCCGGCACAGCCCCTGCAGCCCTCCCAGAGGTGCAGACGGCCCCAATCTTCCTACTGGATAACAGGAGGCTTGTGCTGCCGGCTAGGGGCAGCCTGTGCCAGGAAGATCAGGGCT